AATTCAACAGACTCAGAATAAGACACAGGGAGAAAATATTGAGATTTAAAGTGATGAGCTCAGGGGCCGGGGATTTAGCTCAGTGGTTTCACTGCCTGCTGTGCAAGCGCGAGGACCGGAATTCAATCTCTGGTACCAATAAATAAATAAATAAATAAATAAAAAAAAATAAAGCGATGAGCTCAAGTCATTTAAATAAGGTTAAATTAAGCTCAGAGAATTTTAAAACATAGAATCAAGGTCAACTTTTCCTTTCCCTGACAATGTTGGGTACATGTGACTCTACTATGTCACCTCTATCCCTTCCTGCATGGAGAAATGGCCAATTGAATTGATTAGGGAATAGCAATGTTGGATTTGTTTTTATTCAAAATTCCCTCTTCCAGATGAGTCATGCATCTGAGATGGAAAAAGGTTAGATGACCTTGAAGGATCCTTTTAACCTTCTAACCCTAAGCACTGAAGTCAGCGCACTCAGCAACATGGTTTTGAAAGAAATCAAAGGTTAAAAAAAAGGATGAGGAAAGAAGTATCAACTGTTACAGAAAAATAAATTTGACCATAGCAGACTGTATGTGCACTTCTTCCTCAGAGATGTGACCAGCATGGGAATAGAAAACAAACAAATCCCCATGAAAACTATGTCTCGTCTTCATCTTTTCAGCAACTTTTCCTCAGTCCTTTATATCCCCAAATATACAAAATATGTTAATTTCCTAAGTCAGTTTTAACAAAATACATATTAATATTCCCCAAAGACTAGATTTATAAAGAACACTAAATGTTAGTCTATATGGTTATTTTTTATTTTATTAAACTACATGATGTTTATATTCTGATCTGTCATTATTATGGCTTATACGTCTTTTATTGTCATTTTCCTTTCCCCCGTAAGGTCAAGTAGAGTAGATAAGGAAAAGGAAAGGAAATAGAGGATGAAATTATTCCCCCTTCCCCTTTAGAATGCAACGTCTTCAAGGCAGGAGCTCATCTGCTGTATTTTATTTTGGGGGAGGGGGTGGTCTACTTTATTTATGGCTGTTATCTGAACTAACTAGAACATCTGACACATAGTTGGACATCTGCTGAAGAAATAGCTGGATCTTGAAAATACTATTGCCCCAGAGACATAAATTTGTAAGAATTGAGAGTATACAGAATATGTGTTTAAAATTTTTTAAAAAGATATTTATTCATTTTATACTTGCATTGAGAAGGCTGGAAACTTAGGTACCATAAATAATATTTTGGGCTATAGTAAGCAATATTATCTCACTAGTTTTTAAGTTATAGTTTTATCAATCAACTGATAAATTTATCTCATTGAAGTCATACATGAAACAAGGTATCACTGAATTCCTATCAGGTACTTGGTACTATTTTAGGCCAGGGAATCTATTAGTAAACCATTTGAATTTAGAAAAGGGATAAGTCAATTCTCTGAAATGGGGCTAGAAGCTGTGTAGAAAAAGATGGCCTTTGGAGCCAAACTTTTCTAGGCTCATGTACTGGCTCCACATCTCATTAGCTATATATTCTTGGCAAATTACTTAACATCTCTGTATTGTTTCCATATAGTAAAACAGAGATAATAATAGCAGGTTGCTAACAAATTGCAGTTTTAAGGACTGAGATTAGTTCACATACAAAGCACAAAGAATAGTATGAAGCAAATATTACAGATACAGGTTTCCATCACCACCAATCTCTAAGGATTCCTTTTTTTTTTGTTTGGAGACAAGGTCTTGCTAAGTTGCCCAGGTTGGTCTCAAACTTGCAACTCTTCTGGCCTTGGTCTTCTGAATAGCTAGGCTCCTCTAAGGATTCTTATAGCCAATGGCTTTCTATTTACGTCTCTATTACTCTATCTACTAGACTGTGAAGAATACTGACAGGAGTCTCACTTTGACCCAAATCTTTGACTCATACAGTATTCAACAAATATTTGTGGAATGAATGAAAGGGTAAAGAAAAACAAACACATTGTACTTTAATGTAAATAAGCTGGGTTACGAAATGAGGAGGAAAACACATAGCTCTATCCATAAAGCTTAACCTCTCAGAAAGTCAACTAGATGACTAGAACAGAATAATGCAGTCAATTTCAGCTACTAAAAATGTGTTCAAAGTATCAGTCTTTAGTGCAGGGGTTGTGGTCAACTAACAATCTGCTAATTTCACCAGTAGTTTCCTTCTGCAAATTCTTTTCATAGGTAGGTAATTTTATCTTGTTAAAGAGTAGTATGAAGCCTAGTTAGTGTATGAATGATGGTGAATAGGTAAAGGAAGCACATATTTAGTTCTTACTGTGTCCGCCCCAGCCCCCAGGCTCTTACTGTTCTTTTGCAACCTTGCAGTTGAGAAGCAGTAAGGTAGGAGAGTCTGGCTGACTGACTTCTCACTATGCTACTGTGTGAACACAGGTTACTATTCTTTGCTCAGATAACTGGGCAGTCTGCCAAGATCCAAGAAGGAATGTCTTTGCTCTAGGCAGGGTACTAATGACCTTCCTGCAGATGCAGGCTGTCTTGAGAATGTGCTGAGGTCTCAGCTGCAAAGCTTGAATTTAATTATTCCTTCTGTTATTTCACAGAAAAATACATGCATTCCTTATTTTCTAGTTTATATACATTTTTATTACATATATACATATATATATTTGTAATACAAAATACAAGTGGTACCATTCAGATTCCTTCAGTTTTTTCCTATGGGCTTCAACTTATAGACACAAGGAAAGAATTTTCTCCTTTAGCTCCTCCTTTAAATTGGCTTAACAAAAGACGGCTCTCTTGTAAATCACTGATTATTCACGCTCTTCTGAAGAGGCAAGAAGATTTTGAGTCATGTGAAATAGCAAACTGACAGCATTCTTCCACATGGACCATTTCGGTGTTATCTGATATCCTGGTGACCTTCCAGGAGAAAGCCTGGCTTATGTCTAGTGAGTAGCAAAAACAAAGCAAAAATCCGAGCCCTAGATCTCTCTGTGACCTTGGGAAAAAAAATCACTTGACTTCACCATGCTACATTTTAAGGTTAGATGAAATCGTCTCCAAGTTACCCTTCAATTTCAGTATTCTGAATTACAAGGAATAAAGCTATCAGGTAATTTACATGCTGGCAACATAGTTGAGTTAATATTTGCAGTATGCGCTTATATATCATCATAGAACATCAGCTACTAAAATAAAATCTTAGAATGACTTGACACAATAATGATAAAATGGAGTGTGACCTTGAGCAAATCATGTTCTCTCTGGATCTCAATAAATTCAAGTTTCATTAGTTCTGATATTAAAAGTCTGAAGTTCTCTGATAAGAAGTACCTCTGCCTTCTTAAGACTATTAAGAAAGAAACCACTGAAACCGTAATTTAAATGATTATGTTATTTTGATAAAATAATTAGGAAAACAATTACTGGGAATTAGTAGCTGTCCTCCTTTGTCCACTTATGACGCTTATGGAGTAATGCCCATGCTTTGAAAACATATCTTTTCAGGTTCTGGAAAACTTCCAATTCAATCAAACACTTCCTCACATTCTGCAGTCATCTTAGTATTTTGAGAAAGGAGGAAAAACATTTCCAAATATAAATACAAGTCCTGAAGCAATTTCTCTCAATATGACAGCAAATGTCACCTTCAAAGAGCTTGGAGATTATTCCTATGTCACAGTTCCCCCCCCCCCCAGCAGGACAAAATATGCAGCTCTAATACCGTTACGATGAAAAGTAGTGCTTCTGAAATTCAAAAAAACGTTGAACAGTAAAAAAAACACGTGCACTAGTCATTTGGCTACTGATTCTACTGTGCCCTGGCATTACAAAAAGAGATCAATGAAGAAATTTTAAATATTTTGTTAGCTTACATATGTCGGAAAGCTATCTCCTGAAAATGCAGATCGTAATCTGGAACACTAGGTGAACACAACCTTAATAGTCGAGAGCCTTTTGCTGTAAAAGGCTTTGAGATAAAAGCTCTTAAAATAGTATGGCTTAAGAGAAGGGGGGAAAAAAAAGGTTAGGGCGCAAATCTCCCTTCCCATCAAACCTCATCGTCCTGAGCTTGCCCTATTACAAACCTTCGGGGAAAATCAGGACTCGTTTTTTGTCCCCCGTTATACAACAGGATTAGGACCGAGTTTCTTCAAGGGCAGTGATTTCTCCAGAGGCCTACTAAAAGCCCCCAGGAGGAAAGCAAGTAGTTCTCAATTGCCGGGTTATTGCAGCAGTCCCCAGCTGAGGGGGAGCTTTGCAAACGGCTCAAAGGTCAGTGCTTTGCACTGTTGCCTACTAAAAATCTTTCAAGTTCAAGAACTCCTGCACCCACGCTGGAAGTGACCAGGAGCCAGGGGCCCACACTCACCATGACTGGAAACTGCGCAGACAATTTCTGCACCTGCAGAACGAGCCTCGGGAAGTCAGGTCACCTCTAGCTCGGAACCGAGTCGTAGAAGGCGCTTGGTGCCAGTCAGAAAAGGCTCGGTCCCGGATGCGGTGCCCTCTGGGAAATGTAGTTTACACCACTGGCCCCAGTGCAGCCTCCATGCATTCTCTCCAACGTTGAACTACACTTCCCGAAAACACAGGGTCTTCTCAAGTCCTTCTTCCTGCGCTCTCCAACCATTGCAAAATAGTCCCAGAAGTCAGTCTCTGTGATTGGACGACGACTACGAGCGGATGGTATGGGCTCAGAAGGAAAGGACTGCCTGATGGCTCATGGCAATTGGCGGGAAGGAGGGCGTGTGTAACTTGAGGGAGGAGAGATGAACCCTTAAACGATTCCGCTTAACGCGCAACACAGACATTTTCGTGCCCTGAGGTAAACGTGAGCGGTAACGAGATCTTCCGCTGCGTAAAGCCGGCTCGACCCGGAAACAAAATCTTTTTAAATCGTTGTACTCGCTCTCGAGGGGCGGGGTAATTGAGGTGTCCGGAAGATGTTACAGCTTCTCAGGTTGCTAAGCGACGAAGCTTGAGCAATGGAGCGAACAGTGACTGCGGCTCCAAAACCCTGAGCGAACTGTGGCGGGGGCTCCGAAACTCGGAAGATCAAGCTCGCGCATCTTTCCTAGCCCATCCTTTGTAGCGCAGGGAATCCCCCTCCGGTTAGTGTCCGGTGACGAGGAGAGGGTCTGCGGGCGCCCCCTTCTCGGCGACTCGGGGCCGTGCGTCTTTTCCATTCCAGAGGCAGGTGAGCCTTGGCCAGAACGCGAGGGATTTTCTTTTAACCTGAGGGTCCAGAATGTGGTTGTGCGCCTTCCTGCGTTACTTTTTTTTTTTTTTTTGGTACCGGGGATCGAACTCGGGTCCTAGCCTGCGTTACTTTTTACGGGTCTCTTCTCTTCACACAGTATTAGGGGCGCGGGAATACCACCGTGTTCTAAGGGTGTAGTATCCTGGAGTTTGCGCCCAATTTCCTCTGTAAAGTGCAGCTCTTTCCAAGTTAAATAAAAAATATTTATTGAGCATCTGCTTGGGGTGTAGGGGGATGTGCTCCTCCATTCCAGGAGCTTGCAGTCCATGTATCTTAACTTTTCTCTGCCCTCCGCTAACATTGCCATCCATTCTCTTTAGAAAACTGGATGTGCTTTAAATCATCTTCTCTCTTTAAAGTCATGCCAAACCTGTATTTCTAAGGAAAGGGTGGAAATGAATGGGAGAAACTGGTTGTTTCAGTCAAAATATCAGCTTGGAAAACAATGTAAGAGCTTTTCATTTAAAATTAATGCATCCCAAGAGAATTGCAGTGTTCCTCTGAGCTTTGATGTGGATATTGAAAGAAAGATGTGGTGCTTTGCGATCGTTATACGTAATGAAAATGAATGTCTATAATAGGTAACATTGGAACAACTTCTGTGTTTTGTCTTATCGCTGATAAATGAATGCCAAGTGTTATTTTTAGTTTTTCTCCATTTCATTTTTTGAAAATTTACTATTTGGGGAAAGAAATATAATGCCCTACTTTTCTCTTTGACTTTAAGTAGCATTTATCATGCCCAGATAACACCTCCTTAAATCACTTTTCACAGTTATCTCACGGATATACTTTTTCTGGTTTTCTGCTCTTCTCATTGGTTGTGCAGTCACAGTCCTTCCAAGTTCTTTTTAAATTAAGCTCTGATTTATTAATACTGGAATGCTTGTATTCATCTGTACATGCAGTCTCTAAGTGAATTCATCCATGAGTTTTACTTATTCAAATGCTGCTTCTTTGTCAAAAACTCCCAAATTTATCTGGATGCGTCAGTGCAAGCCTGTAATAAGCACCTTGAGGGCCTGAGGCGGAGAATCTTAAATTCGAGCCCCCCCCCCGCCTCCGGGCGGCAATTTAGCAAGACCCTGTCTAAAAAAGAAAAAAAATTAATAAAAAGGCTAAGATGTAGCTCGATGTGAAGGCCCTGGGTTCAGTCCCCACTACCAAGAAAAAACAACAAAACAAACCCCCTCTCAAATTTGTTTTTAATCCTGGAATGTCTGCTTATCGCCATTGGTTTTTGTTTTTTTTTTTTGTTACCAGGATTGAACTAGGGTCCTTGCACTTGTGCAGCAGGAGGTAAAACCACTGAGCTAAATCCCCGGCCCCACTTGATTTTTTAAATAGGCATCATTTCTACTGTTTTACAGTATTTCCTACTGAACAGGCGTATGTTAAAAGTATGTTGTGTCACTAGTATAACACCTTTGTTATACTTTTATAGATTTGATACAGTTAATATGAGTTGCCCTCACTTTCACTATTTTGGTTGTGGATAAAATTATATGATTTCAGATTGTAGATTAGTGAAGAGATAGGACTGGTTAAATGGAGACCAGTTTAATAAATTGACTGGGGAAACTTAGGAGAAGAGTTTTTAGGCTCTGGCATTCTGTTAGGCTCTGGGAATTCAGAAATGAATATAGGGCTGGATTTAGCTCAGTGGTTAGGTAGCCTGCCTCGAAAGCACAAGGTCTGGAGTTCGATCCCTGGTACCAAAAAAAAAAAAAAAATCAGAAATGAATATAAATAATATAGTTGCTGCCCTTTAGGAGACTAGGTATACCATGAAACACAAATGTGTAAGCCCATAATGACAGTATGAAGATCTGTTTAATAATAGAGTTAGTTACTCTGAGGTGCCAGGGCTTTAAAAAGGAGATGCTGCCTTAATCGAGACAAATGGATGTTTCTGCCAGGTAGCTAAGGTAGAAGGTGGAACCACATTTGCAATGTTGCAAGTAGGGTTTGAATTGGCAGTAAGAGATCATTCATACATGTTTTAATTTCCTGATTTTAAAAAAACCCTAAGTCTCTAGATTCTAGAACTATATTGTTCAATATTGTCATTAGTCATATGTCTCTATTCAAATTTAAGTTAATTAAAATTTAAAACCCAGTTTCCCAGTCATACTAGCCATATTTCAGGTGCTTAATAATGTATCTGACAGAATAAGGAACTGTCATCACCTAAAGTTCAGTGGAAGAATTCAGTGAAAGCAAGACATTATCACCCAGAGCCAGAGCAGGTGTGCCATATCTGCATGCTATTTCTCTTAACTTTGGGTTCCTGTGGATTGTATAACTACTATAATACTGACCAGTCAGGAAGGGTCCTGTTAGAGACAAGAAGAAAACCTAATTCTTGCCTTAACCATTGACTTTTTGTTCTAATAGAAGTGAAATTTACAGTCTAACAGTATGTGTGTCTGTTTAAAAGAGTATTTAGGTACATTTCACTGTCCTGGATCATCAGCCAAATTTAGCTTCAGCAAGACTGTGCCCTCAGGAGGGCTTGAGAAAGCAGTCATTTCCTGGGTGACCTCGAATAACATCTGTCTGTTGCTTTATGCTATTCTGGAAAGCCTGTGTTCCTGTCTCATTCTTAGTAGATGGAAGAATATATGGCATATGTAGAGGCTTGAAGTAGAATGGCAGGTTCAGATCCTGCCAATCATGGGGGATAGTATAAAGAGTAGCCTACTTGAGGTGTCTGTATATTTTAATATGTGCTACAAGTTTATATTAATGTGAGTTTTATGAATTGTCCTAATATTTCAATCTTAGGTGCTGCCATAAAAAAATACCAAAAACTGGATGGGTGAGACGATAAACATTTTTCATAGTTCTGGAGTCTAGGAAGTCTAAAATCGAAGTGCCAGCAGATTTGGTTCTAGCTAAGGTCATTCTTCCTGGTTTGCAAATGGCTATCTTCTCTTTGTGTTCTTAATACATGAATTTTTAAGGAACAAAGACAATTTAGTCCATAGTGCTATATTTTGTTTGATATATTTGCTCCTTATGTACTTATCTCATAATTTCTTCCTCTTCAAGCTTGACGAGTTTATTACATATTTTCAGTTGGTATTAAACAAACACTCCTTGTAAATCAAATTTCACAATAGTTCTCACTATCAAGAAAAGAGAAAAAAGAGAAATGTCATTGGAAAGGGGCTGAAAAGTGCTTTAATTGTGTGAGTGGGTATAGAAAGTGGGTATTCGTTTTATTATTTGTCCAACCTTACCATCCAGTTTAAGAAGAAACATTACCAGTTCCTTCTTGGATATACTGTGCTGGCAAAGATACAGTGTATACTCAATTTTGTGCATATATATTTTGTAATATAAAAATAAACTCACTTGAATTGTTCAACAATAATTAAAAATCAGTTAATGTTTCCTCTTTTTCCCTACTAACTAGGTATTATGAAAACTTATTTTATGTAACTAATTGCTTTACATGTAAAAATATTGTTATATAAGCATAAACATGTCTTATTTTCCTCCAAATATGTCAAAACAGTTATAATTGTGTTAATTATTTAAAAAACTTAAGACATACAAAAAAGAACCTGAAATGGACCAATTTGTGGTTCATGAGATGTGAGGAAGAGTATAAAGAGCTAAACGTTGGCCAGTAACATGAGGCAGAGAGGAGGGTAGAGGGAAAAGAAAGCTGTTGAGTGTAAAGAACTAACATAATAAAGTGAAGATTAAAAGTATTGAAATGAGAGCAGATGTAGTTATACATCCAATTGGCTTTTATTTGTAATTCAAGAATCTGGGCAGCTTGTATTCTGTCAAATAGAATGAGAGCTCCCACTGGATAATGGTAGAAGAGTGGGTTTCTAAAGTGGAAACAAGGAAACACAACCACAGAGAAAAAAAAGCAGGTTGATTAATATCAGGTTACTTTTTTTAAAGGGTTAGAGTGTAGGAGACTTAGCCTTATTACACTGACTCAAGTAGATTAGAATCTCCGGTTTTCAGGTGTGTTTTAGGATCTGTCTGCTTCTGTAACGTTTCAGTTTGATTATGCATTTAGTATAAGTGACTATTTTGGTTTGGTCTGATCATTTAGGGCACAGAATAGGACAGTGGTGGCACAAACATATCGCACACATGCTGGAGCTGGCTGTTTGTTATCATTGAAAGCTCTAAAAGGTTCACCATGACTGGATAGGAGCTCAGTCCAAAACAGTGGCCTCCTGTGATTTTTGTGTACTAAACGGGAGGAAAAAGTTTCACCTGACGTATTAATTGGCATTATGTATCTTATACCTTAGCCAAACTACTTGCTGTTGCTCAAAGATATCCTTCAGTTTTCTACATCCATGTTGTATGTCTGTTTTTTTCTCAAATAAGTCTCATCTTTTCTGTCTTACAATTCATTCGACCAGGCTTTCTTCATGTACCAGGTATGGTGGTGCATGTCTGTAATTCCAGCACTTTGGGAGACTAAAGCAGGGTGATTGAAAATTTGAGTCCAGTCTGGGCAACTTAGCAAGACCTTGTCTCAAAATAAAAAAAAGTTAAAAAGGGCTTGGGATGTAGTTCATTGCAAAAGATCTAGGTTTAATCTCTAATGTGCCAAAAAAAAAAAAAAAGTGTATAACTCTTCTTTACAACCAGAAGTGGAGATTTTTATATATCCTTAATCTCAATTTTCCAGTACACTTCTCTGACATAATATTATCGTACCTAATGTATCTTAATGCCTAAAGGTTTTAAGATAATCACAGTATCATATTGCTTTATTTTAAAACTATGCATATAAATTGATATTTTGTGTTTTTCATTTACTTGTGACTGTGATACACTGTCATTACAATTAGTAGTGCACAATTGAACAAAACCAGTATATTACAAATTTAGTTAAATAATTATTAAGCATTGAAAGTAAAATTGTAATGGAGGTATATCTTTCTTCACCCTTG